AAAAAAAAAAAAAAAAAAAAAAAAAAAAAAAAAAAAAAAAAAAAAAAGGAAAGAGGCTCGTCTGCTTTGTTTCGTTTCTTTTTTTATGTTTTACTTTTAAACTCCTACAGCAATATCACACCCTTTCTTACACTCCTACCAGCTTTCTCACACCCTTTCTTACACCCCATCAGCTGTAACGGCAAACAATTAAGCAGTTAACAAACAATTAGTAGTTTTACTAAAGCTTTCAAATGAAAATCACCCTAAGGAGAATCTGTCAGACACCACAACACAGTCCCATCTTCCCTGCATTTGGAAACCATTCAGCTACAAATGCCTCCTCCTCCCCATTCCCCTACTAAAGGGTAGGCTCTGGAAAATCCAGACGTTTTATCAGGGTCACAAATACAAAACGCTAGCTCGATCTCTGGTCCGAACGGCTTCAGATCCTTCAAGGGAGCTACAAAGAACTCTACATTTGCTGGTGCCTCAACTCACAGCAGAATCCACCGCTATAGCTACCATCCCTCAAGCAGCTCACTTAGCAAAGACCTTTTGCATAAAAGGGGGAAGGTACAGGAGAATGCAAGATGTGCAAGTAAGAGTACCTCAACATTTTTTGAAGACTGCATTACAAGTTATCCAATATCTGAAGAATCTTCTGTGGACACTTACGATCTTTCCTAGCGTAAAACAAGACCGCATCAATGAAAATCTTTACTACCTGGTTAGTTTGGAAGCTGTCAAAATATTGCTGTACAATACAGCCTAAAACACTGCTTCTGAGTTTAAATGGATACAACAAAAAGCCACAAGCTCCACGAGCTGCGTTTTGTTTTTAAAAAAGATCAAGCTATAACCACATGCTTAGAAACAGCTTTTCATCCTCCACATCTAAAAGCGTAAGATGATACTGCAAGACAACACAAAACTTGGTATAAAATTATGTAACGTCAACATATTGCCATTTACATAGGACACACAAATTGAGACTGCAGGAGTAGCATCTAGATGATTCCCTCCTTTCTCAAGCAGCCTTTACTAGATGGGGCAGATGCACAAGAGAGTTGCATATCCAGCAAAACACTGTTACTCCATCTGACAACTCAGCTTTCTCCTCCTCCACTGAAGTCTTGACTATAATTATATTTAGGCACAGATGGATCGTTTAATTTAATCAATGAATACCCGGAATCATAGAAAACATCAGAATTCTAATTTTATTTTCATGTCATCTTATTTAGACAGTGATTCATGGCATACAATTTGTCAGAAAAGGCATTTTTTTCCTTGTTCACATCACATGCTTATGCAGATTTTAGGGGAAGAGAGAAAGCTGACAATACCACACTTTTGATAGCAAGAGCATTTCTCTCTGCTCTAGGTGTACATTCAGGATGACAGAGGTGTTGCTACTCGACATTTTAGGCTTTTCTTTTTTCATGTTGCTTAAAAATCTCATTGCTAGCTCTACTCTTTGAAAAGGCACATACACGTTTATCATTAAATTCCTTTAGAGATCTAGAAAAATAAAGTGCTTCATTTTCACGTATTTGGGTATTTTGTCACTATGCATTACGCCCGTTTTTTTAAGCCAAACTGTCAAAAGCACAATTTCTACTTCTAGGAATCATACTGCATATAAGAAACATCATCATTACCCAGTCAACTCGATTATAGGGTTGGGTTTTTCTCTGTGCTGCTGTTCCAAAGCTTCAGTTAGCATTTGCTGGACATGGAAGAGTATCCCATCCTCCAGTCACTTGAGAATGGGGAGTTTCCAGCAGATTCCACTCAACAGGAAATTACACAGAAGCAACACTGCTACCAACACTTCCGCAAATACAATACAGTTCATATGCAAATTCATTGGTATCTCCAAAAAAAGTAAACATAAACCAACCATCACAAATATTAACAAGTCCCAGTAGCCCCATTACATGTGACCATAACTGCAATGATCCCCAACAGCACTGTACCCTGAAACACAAATCAACTTCCCTTCTAGTAACAGGATTAGTCAATATAAGGACAGCCATACTTCATCAGAACACTCTAAAATAACTTTAGGCTTACTCTTGGTGAGAGCAGCCACAGAAGTTACCTAAGGCCACTCCAGTGGTCATAGCTTGATTGGAACATATGACTAAGATGATGCATGTTTACTTCCATGTAAGTTATGGCAAGAACCTGTTTCACTTGGAACAAACATTAATTCCCCTGCATTTATTCCATTTGGCAGAATTTTTAATATGGAGGTAGCCTTTTCATGGCAGCAGTTTTTCATGATGGCTAGCAAACTTAGAACTCCAAAACTAATAAAACCAGTATTATGGTAATCTACTAACTACTGCTTTTGTAGGATTAATACTGTAAATGCCTGATGGTAGCACAATAAAGCTGAAGGCAAATCAAACAACTGTCATAGCTACAGATCCATATAGTAAAGAGCCACAAGAAATCTCTTCAAGCACAAAACACAGTTCTGGGCAGTTACAACCTAATGTCATAAAGCAACAGTAAGGTGACACGTGGATTGTCTGAAACAGTTTGAAAGCTGTTGAGAACAGCATTTATTTTTTATTTCTAGTTGCTGCAATTTACTTATACTTTTTCACAATTTAAGATTATCCCCAATCTTTTGATACTCCCTTTTTGCTTTGAAACAAAAGCAACAACCCAACACCGACATCAATAGTGCAGGCTCCAAGATGAGAATACAGGAGGTGTCTTCTGCCAGAAGCAAAGGTTTCACTGCACTCAAAACCAATGCCTAAAATCTCATACATCAGGTACAGCTGCACAAGTGTGAAATTAGAGAACAGCAGGTGATGGTAACCTTGAGGTTCTCAATAGAAAGGTCATGTAAACAGACTCCTGCAGCTACCAAGATGCTACTATCAGAAATGAAGTGCAAGAATCCACATTCTTCACTTTGAAGAAGAAAAAAAGATACTATTTCTTCTCAAGACCTGTTTTCACATTCACTACAAAGCAAACTAAACGTGAAAACAGATCAGGTCTTGCAGTCATTGCAGCTCCGCAAGAAAATGGGGGAAGAAAAACCTCTGAACAGCTGAAACACTGAAGTTTCAGCTAACATCACTCAGCTCAGCATTTTAAAAGATATCTGCAATCCCTGACCAAAATATCAGCACCAACTGTAGCTACTGAACAGCAATCACACAGCTTCATAATGCCAAAGGTGCCCTCTTTTGGGTAGCACTTCCAAGAAAGCACCATTTACAGGATACACGGTTCGATAGTTTTACTGAAGTTGTTTCATAGAACAGGAAAAGACTTTCTCACTAACTCATGCACTTTGATAGTAAGAGTAAGGCACAATCCCTTCAGGGCTACAAGACTATTCCTATTTTCAGATCACAAACAAAAAACCTAGAAAACCTAAATCACCAGTTACCAGCGGGGATTAGTTCTTATAGGCTTTGTTGGAGGACTTGAGAGTCTCTCAGATTAACAAACAGACCTTTTCACAATGAATTGAAACTTCTGTCTTTAGATACTCTGCCTGCCCTGCCAAAAACATCCTTTGGAAAGTTATTTATTTTTCTTGACTGCCAGAGGAGGCAGTTAAAATAAATTCAGCTATTTCAGCCCTTTGCTCCCTGCACATCTTCCTTCAGCTGAAGTACTGTGGGAAAGCTGGAGGGGAAGAAAGTGACAAATGAAACCCAGCTCAGCATCCTTCAAAGCTACAGAGAAGGAGCAACACTGTAGCTTCTCACCTTGAAGACATCTTATTGAGATCCATACCCTTTCTCCCCAGTGACCTGCCTTCTCCTGGAACAGGGGCTCTAGGAGCCATGCCTCCAGAAAGAGCACCTGGTGTCCCTCCTGCAAAGCCCAGGCAGCCACCACCTAGAACAGTCTCTATCTAGACATGCCAGCAGTGCATGTCATTGGAAACCAGGGGTCTTCTATCAAAATTCTATTTGATGCTCAAACCTGAGATACCTCTGCTATAAATTTTTGCTGTCCCAGCACCACCAGCCAAGGAAATCCAGCTTTTTCTGAACTTGTTATAATGCACTTCAAATCTCCTAATCTGTAGCTGTGTTTTAGCATCCAAACCAAAAAATCAAGAAACACAGGTTAGCAGAAGGACCAGCTTCCAGATAACTCTTCATTGTAAATTACAGACAGAGAATGAAAACTCAGAGACACAGACAAGACGTTGTGGGATCATGACAGTTTATGCCACTGTATTTAAGGCCACCTGTGTGGGCTTCACCATATTTCAGGGAATATCGTTAATGAAACCACACCGTTGTTAATGTAAAGCTGTGCTGCCAACCAAAGCTCAGGGTTTCATCCAGGAGTACTGAAACCAATTGTGCTACAAGGATCCCACCATAAGGGCAACTTCCACCATTAAATTTCTACCACATAAGGTAAGCCTGAGGCAATTTCTGAAGGGGAACATCCTCAAGGAATTTCCTGAGATGAACCAGACAGCAGGTCTGCTCCAGTGGAGATACACCACAGGCTGTTACACATGAAGCTGAAGTTGCCAAATTAAGCCACCACTTCAATGACAGCTGCTCAAGACAACAGACAGCTCTTTGGAACTGCTGGCTGGAGTGTAACATAAGGAAAAGTAGTCCTTCTCCTAAAATAAAATACAAGCAAGAACTAACTGCCTTACACCCAACTCATTTGAGATAAGTTACCAAAATCCCTTTCAAATAAGGGTAAATTTAGCTTATTTCAAAACAAGGGGTGCCTGCATCAAGTATGTTGCCAACCTTAGTAAAGTTCACTTTAACACCGATTACAAATGCAGCGCTAAATGAGACTTTCAGGTCCCAAATCAGTAAGGGAACCTTTTAATAACAAAAATGTTTTAAAACAACATTAACTTTTCAGTGCTCTCTGTTCCTAAACAAATCTCATTCTTTCACTGCAATACTCAAAACAAAGGGATAGCTTTTTAAGGCAGTTACAAGGTAAGGCCAAGCTTTAAAGGGGATGTTTTAGTAGAAAACTAAATGGCAACTAGAAAGGAATATTGGTTTTAAGTTTCTTAGCCTGACTATTTAGGATGGCTCAAAATTCAGGATATAAGGGGCCAAATACCACTAATCTATGCAACAGCTTGAAAATAGTTTTTCTCTCTAAAGGCATCCTTTTAAAAAAATGCATTTTTTCTTCTTCAACCCATTTACTGAGCCCCACAGAACAGGTCACTTGAAAGTTAACAAAAACACATTACAGGACTAAGACTCAGAATGGACATTATTAGAGACATAACATAGGCTGTTTAGGCATCACATTAAGGTGTGTTACGTTGCAGACTGGCTGTAGAAGACTGCTAAAGAGGCAGAAATAGTTAATGAAATACTGTGAAAGACACAATAGGTAAGTCTGATATTGAAGTGACTTAACTTTTAAATGATTTACATAACCCTTCTAATAAGATGGAGCTGGATGTTTTCATGTACTGTCAATTATACTGCATGCAGGAGAACTACTTATTCCCCATGACCCTCACTTGGTACTTGAGTTTTCCTAGATGTCTAGTGCAGATTTCTGTACTGAAGATGAAGAAACAAAGGCAACAGCCCAATCTGGAGGCAACATCTAGCTGTGCTTCTCACTGCCTTAAGAACAAAGCTACAATGAAGATCTGGCTGCCATATGAGGTTATCTCACCACAGGCTTGCAATGATGAATGCAAACTTCTATTCTTAAATCAAATACAACTGACTTCAGACAACTGATCTGGGAGGTTACAAAGATTGTCTGTCTGGGGCTTTTCTTGGCAAAAAACATCTCCGATTGCTCTAGATTTCCCAGACAAGCAGGGTAGAGGGCTCATCTATACTGTGTATGGGTCAAGTTGAGTTGTTCAGCTTGTACACTACACCCACAAAGCATTTTACTCTGTACGACAAATTGTTCCAACCTTTGGAGGTCAATTTTAGTTGATGAAAGAGGAATTCAGCAATGACCAACCAACCCATAATCAACACTGTTATGGAAGCAACCAAAATCACTCACCACATACCCAAGCCCTCAACCAATTCATTCCATTCACATGTCATTTCACTAACCAAATAATTACATATCTCAGAAATCACCCTCTGCACCCTTTCCCTCTGTTCCAGGGAAGTTTCTGTACTAATAGGTCTTTGTAGCTAATGGCTCAGGACCAGTGACTAGTGTGTAGATATTGTAGTTTCACAGTTAGATGCACGATTTTGAGTTCCAGTAAGACACACCCTTTTTTGCCCAGATATGGAATTCATTAATTTCCAGGTCAGGAGAAAAGTTCAAAGGGCATGATCCCAATATGCTTTCACGCTACAACAGAACAGGGACAGCCTAAATAAAACAGAATACAAGGTTACATCCACAAGTTCTTTAAAGAAATTGACTGCATCTTTGCCAACTGCACAAACACTGCACTTGCATATTCTTGTAGACTCTGGCCTATAACTTTTAAGGCTACTTTAGCTTCAGATGGCCAACATCTCACCTTTCCAAACCCAGGGACTAGCTGTACTCGCAAACATCACTGTCCAGTTGACAGCACTGTTTCACTAGCATTAATGTTTCCCAGATTGCCTGGGTTGCTGTGAGCAGCTTTTTAAACCACCACGCACCCACAACTCTGTCACACTAACAGTGTCCCAAGCAAAGCCTGCTGCCTCCAGTAACTCCAACCTTTCTCTAGCAGGGTTCTGTGCTAACAGTCAGCACCAGATCCTGAGATGCCAGCACAAGGACAGCCTTTTCTAGCATACGGAGCCAGAAAAGGAAGGAAGGTAACTTTTCCAGGCAGGATGGAGCAGAGTCTGATAACCTACTGTTTCAAATAGTCTGTAATAATGGATACCGCACATCTTTCTGAAGAGTCTAAATAATATCAACTCTCCCTCCCTTCCTCCAGGAACTAGACACATAGTGCTAAAAATGCAAAAATCTGAAGCCAAGTTTCACACACTGCTTAATCAGTAAGTCTTATCCAAGCTGTTGAAGGCTAGCTGTTCATCAATGCATTTGGTGCCCAGATGGGATATCTCTATTTAACAGACTAGCAGTTGGGCCCCCATAGTGCTGATGCCTTTTCACAGAATACAGGCCCACGTTTCAGAGTTAACAGTTCTCCTCAACTTCACGCACAGTTAAGCTTCATTACTTAAGAATACATTTATATCCATGCAATTTTACAGTTATAGTAGAACTGTGGAGCAAAAATATAACTGTCCCAGTTGCAAGGTAGTACACCTTTTATTTATAGCAAACAACAGATGTCTATACCAACCATCTAAAGAAAATCTGGACATTGCATTGATTCTTGGAGGGGCTGTAAATAACTGACAGGTCATAGATGTTTTCTGGGCATAGTTTCAAGATGGCACTACTGCTTCTATTCTAACTCAAAGTGTATTTATTACACTGGAATCCCAAGAGTTTTTGTTTTTATTGTGAGTAGGCATACGGGATTCCCAGCCAACACCATGTTCCACGAAATAAAGTCTTATTTGATATCGTGAGAACATCTAGCTCTTGTCCTTGGGCCACGTCTTTCAGCAACCAGGATCATTTCCCTTCAGCATTTCCCCATCTCACCTTTGTGGTTTTCAACTTTGCTACTTGAGGCTCCATTGCTTTCCTATCTGAGTAATCAGACAGTTACAGGATTGTCTACAGATAAGATGATCTGATTTAAGAGTTGTCTGGGATCCAAGTTACCTCATAAAGGAGCTTCAAGTATTTGCAGAGGACTAAGCTGTTTGCAGTGAAACAGTACCTCAAAGGAGCCCAAGTGACACTTCCTTCTTTCAAGACAAATCCTACCGCCCTGAAGACGACATTGAATCTATGCACCACATGCTCTCCTAGTTTGCTCTGTACTCCTAGAATTCACTGGAGTCAAATTCTTTAAATAGCAAGTTAGATGCTTGGCACATTGCAGACATATACATACAGCACACAGCTTTAAAAGACACCAGAAAGTATGCCAATACCCTGCTCTTACCATTTCTAGAACACTGTGAGCTATTAAGCTGTTACAGAGCAATCTGAAACTTATAGAGTGTTGAGCTATAAATCTTAATTTTAAACCAAGAGATGCTAAAAACACAACTGGTGTCTTGGTAGTGTTCTAGTAATGGATAAGCCCCCCTTAAATCTGTCTCCTTTAAATACAAGGAGAATCAACTCGATTCATCCAGATTAATTTTGCAATGGGACACTTGCTCCCTTAGTGTTCACATGGGGACCAGCAGAAGGTTGAATTCCACTTAATTTACTTTAAAAGTACATATTCACTACTCTGTTGAATGGACTGTCACTTATTTTAGAAGTGCAAGCAAGGGCTTAACACTGAATTTTAACACTGATTACCACCTTGCTCTAAGTAGGATGGAGAAAACAAAAATTGTTGTAGAAGACAGCAGAACCTTGACAGAAGAATTAACTTCTGTCTACACGGATACTGTGGAAACTGTCACCAAAACCGCATGATATTTGGCAAGCAGCTAGTAAGCAAGCAATATATAAAGGTGTTCTGAATATACTTACCTGCTTCAACACACACCATTGGCTGCCCCAGGCAGACTGTCAGACTCCCAAGCAGTCAGCTGGACCTGGCTTCAAGGCCTCCCCCATTGAACTAGATGGCGACTGCCACTTGGTTGGCTGCAAGTGAGTCTTCAGGTGCTGTGCCAACCAGGGCATGCTGTTTCACCCACTTGCTAATCTATCCTGGACATCCATACAAGGAACTTTTGATTTCCCAGGCAACTCTCAGAAGCAGCCAGTACTAACAAAAGCCATCTCTCCTCTGTCTCCCCCAAACTGGAAGTGTGTGCTGAAGAGGTCTGCAAACACGAGCTATGAAAACCAAGTGCCACCGTAACATCCAAACTGTTCCAAGTTCACCAAATTGCCCATCAGATCACCGAGCGCCACAGGTTCTCCAGCCTTAACTGACCCTAGATTTCTCATTAGCAACAAGAATCTTTCATCTGGTGCCATTCTTACCCTGCTTCAGTTGTGATCAGAGACTATTTCCTCAAGACACTGGTGGACAAGATCAGTTAGTGGACTCTGTTCTAAAGGTGACACAGATGGCAGAACGGACCTTAATCCTGACAACCTGAACAGCAAGTAGAAACATCTACTGTGATCTTCTCTACTTTGCAAATGATACACATTTTTCTTCTGAAATCATCACAGTTCTCAGAGAAGTAGCTTCATGCAAAAAGAATTCCAAAAACAGTAGTTGCCTCTGGGGTTTTCTCTAAGGGATTAGGGCAGTACTAATTACTCATCTTTGACAGTTACCAGAAGCTTTGTCACTTACAGCAAAACTCACATATACAACTGTAACATACAATCCTACCCACTACGCACAGCACAGATTTCTACCACACGGCATGACAAATACTTGGTTCTCTAAGATAACTTTAAAAAAAATGTGGTATTGCAAACTACTCAAAGTAACAACTCATGAGCTTACCTACTTTATCAGCATCTTTGGGAAAAGAATACTGAAATATAGTTAGTATTTCTTCCAGCTGTCACTTGTGTGCGGACGATGCTATTTTTACTGCTACAAGCTGAAGGGTCCTTTAAATACTGCAAAAGCAACAGAAGTCAGGCTTACATTCTCTCTCTCCTAAGGATTAGAACAAGTTTACTATTCACCAATCTGCAGCTGTAATTCTTTGCAATACACTCCAATTGACTGTTAAAACTGAACAGCATTTAATATTAATTTTAATGAACATCTTATTTCAGTGCTTCAGTATTCAGAATGCATTTTTTTCTGAAAACCATAAACCTAGAAGTTAGCTTTATATCTTCTGCCAAGATTTAAATCTTAATTCCCACAGGGCTGTGTATTTAATGATATGAAGGCATTGTTTTGCTAGACACATTCAGTGCTGAAAGCAAAATCAAGTCCTACAGAGCAGCTGAAATTTCTACTAGTTAGAGCAGAAGACATTTACTCACTATTTTTTAAGTTTGTCTTAACTCTTCCAGTCTGCCAAAGCTTTGCTGATCTCTCCTCAGAAAACAAAAGTTGACTGGTGTCACCTATTGTGAAGAGAAGTTTGCAAACAATCCACCCCGACAAACCTGCTAAAAAGAGGATGCTATTGGGATGTGAAAGGTTGTAATCATGCATTATTTAGCCCCTACTGGTCGTCCTACAGCACAAGTATTATGCTCAGCCTTCATGAGATTATCAACATCTAGAAATTGCAGAATTTGAAGGAGTTGCTAGGTTTTTTGCCTTGTTGAAACAAGAAATCCTTCAATAGCCTCCTCCTATCCAAACAAAATATAAACTAAGAATTATTTTTAAATCAGCGCTTCCTCCTATTCCAAAGTGAAGGGACCAGATGCAAATATGAAAATACCAAATTCCTCATGTGGTTTTACAGGCGAGATACAACCACCAGAACATGACGAGAGAGACTGAGAGTAGTACTGTACTTGAGACATATTAGACCAACTTCAAAAACAGAAGACAGCAGCATCCAGATGTTTACCAGCCCTTACCCTCTTCAGGTTACCTTAGTTTCTATATACAATTAAGAGAAATCTGATGAGAGCAAGCCCTGTACCACCCTGTAGCAGTTCTGGGATACCCACATCAGGTCTCTCCCACCCACAGGTGTCTGCACACTGACTGCCTGCCTCTTGCCCCACAGCCCTGGCCACCTGCCATGAACAGCCCTTGTCCTTTTTAAACACTTACCCATGATCAGCCTAGATAAGCTTTAGGCAGTGGAAAACCTGTCAGGGACAAGCCAAAACGCCCAGGAGAAGACAACTGAGCTGCAAACAGAAACCAAGAACCTGTAGCTGCTGCCATTCCCCTCGAAATCAGGTGCAAAGGAACCTTTACACAGGGTGGCCATGCCTTGCACCAGCTTACTGGTGCAAATTAAGACAGAGTCAGGACAACATCTCTTCACTGATACCATACTTGTTCAGAGGTGTGCTGGCAGCTGCTGTCACAGCCTTGTAACCAGCGGTAAAAGCATCAGGCGAGCTTTTTGAAGAGCCTCCTGCTGTAAACAAATCCCAAGGTAACAACATAGGATCCCTAGCATACAGTCAAGTTCTGTATTTTTTTGCCACTCCACAAGGGAAGCAGATACATCTGCTGATCGTCCTTTCAACACTTGTGTGTAATGAGCATTCACGGGACAGGGAGAGCATGAAAGCCACAAGAACAGACACAGAAGGGACAGAAAATCAAGTTCAAGAAAAGTACAGAAGAAAGGAAAACAGTGAAGAATGTTTTCCATGTTATTTTTATGCTTCTTTTCTATCCTTCATTTCTCCAAAGTGGTGTGCAGCCAAAGACACTAAGGTGGGCTACAGACATCCATCATGGCCCACAGAAATCTTGTCACTCCTTCCCCTTCCCAAGCCTTTAACTACTTCCCCATGTTAATAGCACAGCCCAACCCTTTCCCCCCACAACATTAAGCTCAAGTTAACCAAGGACACAATTTCTTGTTAAGCAGATGGTCCATGACACGAGACATCTGCAGTTTTGCGAGCATCAGCACAGACCATACAACCAGCAGAGCTCAGGACTGAGGCAGTAGTGCAACTGCCATGCTGGTCTGCTCTCTGCCGGTCCCACAGGCTACTTGGCTACATGCAAAACCTTCTGAAATGCTTCTATCCTGTTCCTGTCAACAAAGAGGGCAACTGAGGAAGGGTTCCTTTGGTAGACCATACAAGTTCCCTCCATCTAGCAAGACAAAGCCCAACCATTCAGTCTAAGAGCTGATTGTACCTAAGGTCAAAATGCCACAAGCAAACCTTCAAGGCAGCATCCGTCCAGCTGAAGGTGTACGAAGGACAGTCCCTAGATGGAGTTCTACTTCGTGCTAACCCAACGAACGCCCCCCCAGGCCCCGGGATGGTAGTCTGTGGGTGGACTGACACCTACAGAACACTAGTACAGGAGATACCCTGAAGGTGAAGAAGGAGTACCAGCACTGGTCTAACAGCCGACTACTCAGCTGAAAACTAACACTTTGTAGAGGAAAACATGCAGATGAAAAACCCTTGTTACTCTTGAGCAAGTCTGGGTCCTGCAAGACCTGGAAAACTTGTGAAGCTCAGTGATCTTTCCTGGGTAACCAGGTAAAGTGGCACCTTGGCAGAGGGACAATCCATGCTCAGAGAGGTGAGGAGTTGTATCTGGTCATCTGCCTTTCCCACCTCCTGGCTTTATTTTGGGCAAGGAGGAGGGGGAGAGGTAGAGATGGAAGAGAAAGAACGGCCTAAAACCATGACTTCATGAACCTCTGCTGTCCTCCAAGCTACAAGGGCAAATACAGCTCCACTAGTATTCATCCTTCCCCAGGCTGCAGCCCTAGTGAAGTACAGGTGCAATGCCTGCTCCCGGTCACAAGTAGTTCACGGTTACTTCAGGATGACCAGCAAGGGCAGTGCAGTCCAGGCTTCCTCAGAACAGGCCAGTTCAAACATGTCTCTCCGAAACTCAGGGGAAGGATGATTTCTGTATGCATTTTTCATAGCTGGTGCCACAGGTTGAATGCCATGATTTTAAAGCCAGGAGCATTCTCCCTCGTCTATTTTATCCTGCATGGCTAGATTTTGCAATTTATTTGAACTACAAACTTTTTAAGCCTAAGAATTTCGTGGTTTATTCCACCTTCTTTTTTAAGGATGCTAACACTTAAATCCACATAGAAGATGGAAGTAGAATACTAACACTTGCTCAAGCCAGAATACATTTTTACATCTTCCTTAGTACAATTATTTAGACAAGTTTCCTGAAACATTGATCCATTTTAAGTCTGACAACTTCAATGCTCCTTCTGAAGCATTAAACTTCATAAATACTTTTAATTTACAATACTGCACAGTACCAGCACCTCTGAACTTCCAAATGCAAAGTCTGATTGCTTTGTTTCTTGGCCCCGGAGCAAGGAAAACAAGCTGATGCAACTGAAGAGTAATGCTACTTTTGTCACACCTGCCTACTGCCACAATGCAAGTCAGATGACATTCGGCAGCATACCTTGATGTAATCAAACCCAAGCTACTAGGAAAACCGAAACTTTTGCTAACTTGTAGTTCCCAAACCGAAAGCAACTCACATGAGCACTCACCTTCACAGAAAAGTCTAATTGAATACGGATAGATTCCCAGAAAACAAAAATATTAGATAGAAAACCTGAAGACCTGGGGAGCCCAACTACGAGAAAAAAAAAAAAAAAGTCCATCACAGTTCATTTCAGAGGAAAGCTAGTAAGGATTCAGACTTATCCTTGACTGCTGACTACCCAAACATTATAGCATCATAGTGAAACTTACTGATTAAAGGCAGTATTTTTTAGAAATTACATTAGCATTATGTATTTCCTTGACAGGTGCATGTCTTTGATAAAGACATGAGGAAAAAGAAGGAAGACAGAAAGACCAATATATACCAGCAGCATAGGAGCTGACATAAAACCAGTCCTCCTTTTAGGCAACAATCCTACCTGAATGTAACTGGAGCAACAGATGCTCCAACAAAGCAAGTGTCCTAGCAGG